AGGGGCCCCCCGAGGGGGCCCCCCAGGGGGCCCCCTAGGGGGGCCCCCAGGGGGCCCCCTAGGGGCCCCCCCAGAGCGCCCCCCAGCGGGCCCCCCAGCGGGCCCCCAAGAGGGCCCCCCAGGGGGGCCCCCAGGGGGCCCCCCAGGGGCGCCCCCAGGGGACCCCCCAGGGGGGCCCCCAAGGACGAGGGGGCCCCCAGGGGGCCCCCAGCCTCGTCAAAGGCCTGCAGCTGAGCCCGAGCCAGCAGCAGCAGCTCGCGGCGCTCTATAGTGACGTGCTGCTCTAGGCCTGAGTCAGTTTCTAGGCAAAGAACGAGGTGGTCGGGGCCTGCAGCAGAAACAGCAAACCCTAAACCCTAAACCCTAAACCCTAATTTGTGGTTAAGCTCCAACCCTAAACACTGGGCAACGAACTGGAAACCCTGGAGTTCAGGACTGATGCATGCACAGACCGCCATGCAGCCGGAGCCAAACAACCAAACTACCCCGCCAAACCCTAAACCCTAAACCCTAAACCCTAAACCCTAAACCCTAGGGAATGAATTCTAGCGTGCTGCGTGCTGCGGTACCTGAAGGAGAGACGCTCTTGACTTTTATGCTCGCGGGAGACGTTGAAGGCCTCGAATGCGCCTGAGGGAACAAACCCTAAACCCTAAACCCTAAACCCTAAACCCTAGATGTGGGCTGTTGCGGAGGGCTTGGGAAGCGTTGACTGCGGAAGCAATGCACCGAACTGGCTCGTTTGAAATAACTAAATTAAATTAATTTAATTAAATTAATTAAATTAAATTAATTAATTAAATTAAATTAATTTAATTAAATGCTGACTGGAGATAAACGACAAGGAGAAGCTGAACGCGAAACCCTCGTGACCTGCACTTGGCAGCCGTTGCAGCACAGCGAGGTGTCTGTACACCCGAAACTCGTCACCAACACGTCTTCTCCTGCAGCAGCAAATAAATAAATAAATAAACAAATAAAAAAGTAAATAAATAAATAAATAACAATAAATAAATGATAAATTAGCAGCAGAGACGCAGCAGAGGATGCAGCATAAAGAGCCTCGAAGCAGCAGCAAGAAGAAGCAGCAGCAAAATCAACGCAAAGCAGCAGCAAAGAATGCACATTCAAGACAAGCAGCAGCAGCAGCAGCAGCAGCAGCAGCAGCAGCAGCAGTCCGCAGGTGACGTTATTTCTATTAAATGGGCAAGACTGAGGATCAAAGCAGCAGCAAAAATAAGTAACAAATGCAGCAGCAGCAGCAGCAGCAGCAGCAGCTTGCATTTGGTGCTGCTGGGGCGTATGTACACCCGAGTGGCTTAAAGGCACATGTGCTCCAAATATCAAAAAGAAAGTAAATACATTAAAATGGATGTTTTTGATTTATATTTAAATAAATAAATATTAATTTGTGGAATAAACATTTTTAAAAACTCAAAGACGAAGAAACGCTGAAAAAAGGAAGTGAGGTGTATAGGCCATCTTCGGGTGTATGTACACCTCGATGAATTTGCTGCCACCTTGTGGCCTATTTGCTGCCTATTCATTCCTTTCTTTCGCTCATTAATATTATTTTTGATTTATTTTTAATATTTGTTTTAATATTTATTATTTTTATTCTTTTTATTTATTTATTTGCCATTTATTTCTCGCACTGGCGGCTGCCGCCCCGCACGCCGTCCAGGTGTCTGTACACTGCGGCGTAAATGGGCCTCAGCCTTTTGAAACATTTATTATTATTTTAAAACATTTAAAAACATATTTATCATTATTTTGAAATAACATCTGATTGTAATTTAATGCACTTATTTGTGCACGTAATGCATTTAATTCTGGCAAAAGAACAGCAGCTAAGGAGCAGCAGCAGCAAAATAGCAGCAGCAGCAGAAGAGCACCAGAAGCAAAACAGCAGCAGCAGCAAAAGAGCAGCAGCAGCAAAAGAGCAGCAGGGGGCAAAAGCCTCACCTGGGGAAAGGATGGAGACCTGGACTTGGCCGCCCGAGTGGATGCTGGCGCTGGAGTTTTGCTGCTGCTGCTGCTGCTGCTGCTGCTGCCTTGAGACAGAGTGCGCTCTGCTGCTGCTGGGCGCGTGCTGGGGGGTGCCCCACGGCTGCCAGCTGTTGCTGCTGCGGCTGCTGCTGCTGCTGCCGTCTACGTTTTGCTGCTGCAGCGGGACGCCGTGGAGTCCCTGCGCTGCAGCCGCAGCAGCAGCAGCTGCTGCTGGCCCCGCCGCTGCGTCTGCAGCAGCAGCAGCAGCAGCAACAAAACCCCCGCCATCGTCCCCTCCATAAGGCACAAAAGCATGAAAGGGCCCCGAATTGAGGGCCCCAATGTCCCTGAAGTCAACTGCTGCTGCTTGCTGCATTGCAGCAGCAGCAGCAGCATTTCTGCTGGCAGCAAAAGGAGGAACGGGGGGAAACGCGGCGTCCGGGGGCGGCGGCGCTGCTGCTGCTGCTGCTGCTGCTGCTGTGTCTGCTGCTGCAGGGGGCCCCCCAAAGAGCTGGCTGCAGCCATCGGGAGGCAGCAAAGCCCCCGAAGGATATATAATGGACATATCTGCTGCTGCAGCAGGAATTGCAAAAGCAGCAAAAGACCCTGGGGGCCCCTCTTCCTGCTGCGGGGGCCCCAGGGGCAGCAGGGGTGTCCTGGCGGCGCCGCAGGCGGAAGCCGCAGCAGCAGCAGCAGCAGCAGCGTCTGCGTCTGCTGCTGCTGCTGCTGCTGCGCTCGGGCCTGCTGCTGCTTGCTCTGCTGCTGTGTCTATTCTCTCAGACTCTTCCACGTCCAGTGGCAGCTGATCTATGAGAGCAGCAAAAGACTTTATCTGCAGCAGAGTCATCATTGCAGCAACGCCGCGGGCCAGCTGCGGCCGCGGCAGCGGGGCGCGCGAGAGCTGCTGCTGCTGCTGCTGCTGCTGCTGCGGGGTTTCTGCTGCTGCGGCAGGAGACAGGAGCAGCGGCAGCCGCCTCGAGAATGGGGCGCAGGGGCGGAGGGGTTCTTTTGCTGCTGCTGCTGCTGCTGCGGGGGGGGCGCTGTGCGGGCGGCGGGGCTGCTGCGGCGCTGCTGCTGCTGCTGCTGCTGCTGCTGCTGGCAGACAGAGCGGGCGGAGGGAGCAGCAGCAGCAGCAGCAAAAGGCAAGGACGCAAAAGTGGAAAGAAATGAAAAAGAAGAAAAGAATTTGAGGGCGGAGGGGGCGGGAGGGGAAAGCCCAAGGCAGCGCAGGCGGCGCTCGGCAAGAAGGCACCGGCGCGGCTGCTGCTGCTGCTGCTGCTGCAGCAGCAGCAGCGAGATTGGAGTGAAAAGGAGAAACTGCTGCTGCAGCAGGTCCTTTTGGAACTAAAAATGAAAGTAATTGGAGGAAAAGGGAGAAACAAGTGGTGTGTCGTGCGCGCGATTGGGGTGTACGGACAGCCCAGGTCCACGCAGTCCGCCTGATCCTCGCGGTTGCTGCGGATTCGAGCGGTTCCCGGTGGGTTCTGGCGATTCTTTTTGGAATTTGCGTCGGAATTTGGCAAAGATCTTTCTTTCGGAAGAGACAAATCGAAAAAATGGAAGCTTTCCGTAATTGTTTCGGGGGTTTGCGCGCATGCAGCAGCGCCGATCGCCGCGGCGATGGGCACCAGCCGATCTGGCTGTGCGGCCTCTGCAGGCGCCTCGGGGGAGCCTGAGGCTCAGACAGCAGCAACTCATGTGCAGAAGGAGAAAGTTTGCTTTTTAATTCAAAAGAAATGCAAAGCTGCAGCAAAAACGGACTCGGGAGCGGCAGCAGCAGCAGCAGCAGCGCCGCAGCAGCGCCTCGGCCGGACCAGCTGCAGTCCACTGCAGCAGCGCGCCCGCGTAGACACCCCGACGCGCCTTCTGCCCTCTTCTTCTCTTCTTTTAATTCTAATTTGCATTTAATTTCTTTTTAATTTCTTTATTTGAGCTTTTAGACACGCGGAAACGCGCAAAGACCTTTCTTTTGGCCGCCGCCGCTGCCGCTGCTGCTGCTGCTGCTGCTGCTGCTGCTGCCTGCGCCGCCGTACACACTGCAGTGGGGGCGCAACCAGACAGCCCAGAGGCCCCCCGCCCCTTTAATTGCTTTTCTTTTTTCTTTTTTTTATTTTTAATTTCAAGTTAATTCCAATTTCCAACGTTTTACTTCTTTACTCCTCCAGGGCTCTCCAGGCAGCCCCTGGCCAGCCAGCCCAGCCCACTGAGCGCCCCCACTGAGCCGCTGCTGCTCCCGCTGCTGCTCCCGCTGCTGCTGCTGCTGCTGCTGCTGCTGCTGGCCCTTAAATCAAGGTCCCAAATTTTCTCCAAGGGTTTCGCTCGGGTGTCTGTACACCCCAAGCCCGGGACTCGATTCCCCAGCTACCGAATCCAAAAAACAAATAAAACAAACAGCAGCAAATAACAGTTTGCTGCAGCAGCAAAACTTCCCGGGGAATGCTGCTGCTGCTACTGCTGCTGCTAATGCTGCTGCCGCTGCTGCTGAGAGGCTGCAGGTGCGCTGCGGTGTACGTACACCCCACGGGGCGGGCCCGCAGCAGCAGCAGCAGCGGCGCTGCAGCTGCAAAGGAGAATTAAAAAGTTAAAAATATTTAATTTAAAATCAAAAGGAAACTCAAGTTCAAATTTGCTGCTGTGTCTTTCTGCTGCTGCGCCCCCAGCGGGCCGGAGAGCAGGCTTTGCTGCAGCAGCAAAATTTGCTGCTTTTAAACTTTTAAAAAAAGATTTCAATCCAAAAGAAAGTACTGCTGCATGCAGCACGGAGCAGCGCTACTGCTGCCAGCTCCGTGCTGCTGCTGCAGCAGCTCAGGCCTGACCAGTGGTCCATTTGGTCCACCCGCAGCTGCCTGGGCTGTGGGCCCAGTGCTGCAGCAGCAGCAGCAGCAGCAGCACAGGGTAGCAGCAGCACGAGCCAGCTGCAGCAGAAGCAGCACGGAGCAGCAGTCGCGGCAGCAGCACGAGGCCGCAGCAGCACAAGCCAGCAGCAGCATCAGCAGCAGCTGCAGCAGCAGCAGCACGAGACAGCTGCAGCAGCGAAGATCAGCTGAAGTGCAGGCTCTGCAGCGCAGCAGCGCAACAGCTATTTGAGTCCTCAGCAGCAAACTGAGCAGCAAAAAGTGCAGCAGCTCTCTTGCTGCTAGCAACTAGCAGCAAGCTGAGAGCAGCGGAGCAGCAGCAGCAGCAGCAAGTGATAGAAACTCTAATTTGCTTTTTTATTTTCCCTAGAGGAGCAGCAGCAGAAATAGATAAATTACTTTTTGCTGCAGGGCCTGCAGCAGAGCAACACAAGTGGCTTCGGCCCCACAGGGAGGAAGCTGGCCAAGGGCTGTTCTGCTGCTGCTGCAAACCCTAAACGCTAAACCCTAAACCCTAAACCCTAAACCCTAAACCCTGGCCCTGCATGCCCGCTTCGCAGTGCAGAGGCGCAGCCTGCTGCTGCACTTAGGTGACTGACAGCAGCTAGCTGGCCCTGTGTGCAAGCCGCTAGCTGCGGCTAGCTGGATGCAGCATTTGGCTACTGCTGCTGCTGCTGCTGCTGCTGCTGCTTGCAGCAGCTCAGGGATGCTCTATGGACTAGCCAAGGGGTGGCTGGGGCTCTGTGGTTAGTAAGAGCCAGGGAGGAAGGCCTGGGGCGTACGTACACCTCAGCTAAACCTTCATAAAATAACTATTGTAAAAGCTGGAAGTAATAAATGAAAAGAAATGGAAAGAAATGAAAAGAATAGGAGCAAAGAGAAGCCTGGGCGGGGTGCTCGCGAGGTGTACAGACACCCCACAGGCGATCGATGACCACCCGCGCCATCCGCCGCCAATCTGCCCCTCCGCCGCGGAATTTTATTGAATTTAAATGAAAAATAATAAATTAAATGATAAAATAAAGCAAATATTTGCACAAATCGTTTTGAAATTGGATTTGGTGGGGCCGCGTTGGAGAAGTGACCGTGGCGGAGCCGCGGTGAGCGGCGCTGGGGTGTCTAGGGAACTTGAGAACTGCGCGTTTGCGGTCGTTTCAGCAAATTTTTTTGAATTAAAATATGAAATAAATTAAATTAATTGAATTAAATAGTTTTGAAGCGAAAAACGCCCGCGCAGAGAACGGGGCTGCCGCCCCCGGCCCTCAGCTGACCAGTCAGTGGCGCTGGGCTCGGGCGACCCGCTGCGTGTCTGGGGTGTATGTACACTAAGAAAGCCTTTAGCCTTTTGTTTTTCTGGAGCTTCATTTCATTTTTATTTATGATTTGCCGCTTCAATAGGCAGTGCGGGGCAGCAGCAGCAGCAGCAGCAGCAGCAGCAACTCCACTCCGCGGGCGAGTGACCGCTCCCTGTGTCTGTCTTTCAGCGCAAAACTTGCAAGTTTCTTTCTTTCCTTTCCAATTCTTTTATTCTTTCCAAATTCTTTTATTTATTTTTCCAAGTTCTTTTATTTATTTCTCCTCAAGTCTTTATTTCTTTGCTGCTCCTTTTAGCTGTTTGGCTCTCTCAGTAGTCGCCGCCCTTGTCAAGGAGCTGCAGCAGCAGTTTGCTGGCCCCACACTTTCTTTCTTTCTTTTCTTTGCTGCTTTTGCTGCTCTCTCCGCCCCGGCTGCAGCGCCTCTGCTGCTGCTGCTGCTGCTGCTGCTGCAGCTTCTCCGGCTCTCTTGCGTCTTTCGGGGGCTGTCAGTGGCCTTTTCAGGCCTTTAATCTGCTGCAGCTTTCCCCGCCGCTTCTGCAGCCCGGGGCGCTGCTTGCTGCCGCAGTTCCCGCTGCTGCAGCTGCTGCTGCTGCTGCTGCTGCTGCTGCGGGCCTCCGCACTGAAACTGCAGCAAAATGGCGCTCCCCCCAGTTCTCGACGAAGAAAATCTTTACAAGTTCCGCACGAAGATTTGCGAGCGCTACGTGAAGCAGGGAAGATGTGAGTTTGCGGACAAGTGAGTTAAAATTTAGTGAATTTTAAATTCTTTTTAAATTCTGTAAACTCTTTGACTTCTTTCAAAGCCCCAAAAATGGAAAGAGCCGCCAAGCCCGCATGCGCGGCCGCAGGGCCGCGCAGAGCGCATGCAGCGGAGCCCGCGCAGTGTATGTACACTGCAGGTGTCAGTACAGCCACGACCTCCGCTGGACCCGAAGACCCCCCTGGAAATATACTTATTCTCCAGAACTTTGTCGGGATTTGATATTTGTGACTGACGGAAGGGGCAGGACAATTGCGAAATCGAACTGCAAGCAAAAGCGGAACTGCAGGTTTTCGCACACCAAGGAGGAGCAGATGTACCACCCGAAGATCTACAAAACGGTAATTTGCCCTGAAATCGGGTCCTTTTTCGCCCAAACTGGAATTAAAAACGAAATAAAAACAAAACAAACACAATTTTACTTTTAAAATTCGAAACGGCGGCTCCGGAGAGCCCGAAACGCGCGAAATCGCGAAATTCAACTTTTCAAATTTCAGGTGTACGTACACCTCAACTTGCGCGCGCGCAGGTCCTCTGCAACCAGTTCCGCGAAAACGGATGGTGTGATCGTTATTATTGTCCTTTTGCTCACTCCGAAAATGAATTAAGGCCTTTAGAACAAAGCGAAGAAGTCAAACAAATATTTGCAAAGGCTCCTGCGCAGGAGGCGCTCTGCCCGGACATCTACTTGGTAACCCCGGCGCATGCACAGTGCTGCTTCATTTCAATAAATGCTTAATCTTTTGAATAATCAATTACCTTTTCCAATTTATAAATCATTTTTAATTCTTAATTCCCGAAAACTCCCCCGCTTTCCCCAGCTTTCCGCCGGTTTCCGCCCCGTTCAAGTTGCTGCTGGTGCGCGCGTTTCTGCTGCTGCTGCTGCTGCGCGCGTTTCTCCCGCTGCTGCTGCTGCTGCTGCTGCTGCTGCTGCTGCAGCCCTCCGACCGGCCCCACCCCCGCCTTCGCGCGCGCTTCCTCGCAATTATGGACGGAGTTCCCCACCAAAGCCATTTGCACTTGTCTTTGGACCCCAGCTGCCTCTCAGCAGCAGCAGCAGCAGCAGCAGCAGGCCGCACGCGGCAGCCCTACACAGACTTCATTTCTTCCCACACTCCCCACTCTGTGCTTTCCGAGGGATCTCCTGCAGCACATCCGCAGCCTCTGTACCCTCCTCGAGCAGCAGGGGGCCCCCTGGGGGCCCCTGGGGGCCCCCCGAAGGCGGGGGCTGCTGGCGAGGGGGGGCACTTGGGGCAGCGCGGCGGCGCTGCTGCTGCTGCTGCTGCTGCTGCTGCTGCTGGCAGCCGCAGCAACCTTGCTGCTGCTGCCTCGCTTCGGCAAAATAATGCTGCAGCAGCAAACCCCGAAAGAAAAAACCAAAGACAAACTACTGACCGCCTCGTGCTGCTGCTGCAGGCGCAGCGAACTGCAGCAGCAGGTAATGCTGCTGCTGCGCAGTGTCTGTACACCCCAAACTGCTGCGGGGCCTGCGGCTGTTTCTTTTGCCTTTTCCTTTCTGCAGTTTTATTTCATTTTGTTTTATTTTTATTTCATTTTTTTTATTTTTATTTCATTTTATTTTATTTTTATTGCCATTTTATTCTACTTCACTTTTGTTTCGTTTTATTTTATTTTCATTTTATTTTATTTTCATTTATTTCATTTTCATTTTATTTAATTTGAATTTTATTTTATTTGCATTTATGGCTCGCCTTCATTTGAAAGTTTAAGTTTGTTTTGCTGCAGCAGGAGTTGAGCGCATGCGTTTGTTTGCTGCTGCTGCTGCTGCGGGTGTCTGCGCACTTGCTGCTGCTGCTGCTTTGCTTTCAGGCGCGGGCAGCAGCGGCAACAGCAGCAGCAACTTCAAAAGCAGCAGCAACGCCACAAATAATAAATTCAGCAACGAGAGTTCTTTGAAGGCAGCCTTGTCTGCGGCGTCGCTGCAGGCGGACTCGCAGCGGCAGCAGCAGCAGCTGCTGCAGCAGCAGCAGCTGCAGCAGCAGCTGCAGCAGCTGCAGCAGGGGGCCCCCACCCTCGCAGAGGGGCCCCCCGGATTCATTAGTGCTTATGCTTCTACTCACTCTGCTGCTTCTGCGCACCCCTGGCCTTCTTTGCCAGAATCCCCTGAGGCTTCTCAGCTGCAGCATGCGCGGGACCCAGCAGCAGCAGCAGCAGCAGCAGCTGCTGCTGC